TTCCCGAGAGAAAGTATTCCGAAAATCCCGAGCAACCTGATTCTCAATAGGACTAGTAAGACCCAAATTGAAATTATGGGAACTATCGAATTGCTTAGCAAGTTTCTGAGGTTTTTCCAAATTTGTGATCAAAATTTTACCACCTTCTTTAAGCGCTGGAATAGGCTTTTGAGGTTTTTTCAAAATTTTTGTGAGTTTCCAAAAGGGTTTGGAACTCGGGTCTAATTTAGAAACATTATTTTCAAAAGTTTTGTTCCTCAGGGCAGAGAATCGCTTTTTAATTTGTTTTTGCAAATCCCGCCAGATAACTTTCAGGGCAGGATCGCGTGTTCTTTGATATTGTCTCCTACGGACATTTTTTAAGACGGATCAATAGCTGAAGATCGTCGTCAATTATAATTTAATCGAATTTAACCTCGCATTTTGGTACTGAGGCAGCTCTTGCTTCAACTATAGAAGTAGTCAGATATTCAAGAGCATAATTAATTTCATCTTTGGTTTGCAAAGGAATGTTTGGATCGAAGTTATATTCCATAAATGTTCGATATTGCTCCCAATCAGCTCTATGGTAATTGAAAGTAGAGCTGTTGGGATTACAAATTATTTCTTGGGATATTTCAAAAGTTACTGGAAGGTGATCAGAACCAAAGTCAGCATGGATAACCAATCGGCTACAAAGTTGACATGAATCAGTTAACACCAAATCAATAGTTGAGGGATTTCTTGCAGAAGAAAAGCATGTTGGGCTGTTTGGATATTGAATAGTGTAATAACCTGCAAAACAATCATCAAACAGAATATTACCATTGGAATTGCTTCAAGCATTATTCTATGAGCGGTGTTTTGCATTAAAATCACCAATAATGAAGAATTTAGATCTATGACGGGTAAGTTTCTGAAGGTCACCCTTGAGAAAATTCTTTTGCTGACCTACGCATTGGAATGGCAAATAGGCAGCTTTAAACGTAAGTTGTCCAAATTTAGTTTCAACAGAAACTCCCAAAGTTTCAAAAACTTTTGTTTCAAATGAAGAAAGAATTTTATGTTTGATTCGTCTATGAACAATGATGGCAACGCCACCACAGGGTCCATCAAGACGATCATTTCTATAAATTAAATCATTTGAGTCCTTCTTAACCTTATGGTCAGGTTTATGGAACGTTTCAGTTATAACGGAAAAATGCACGTTATGAACTCTCAAAAAGTTGAATTGCTCGTCTTCATTATCTTTAAGAGATCGAGCATTCCAATTTAAAATATTTAAAGCTTTAAAATCCATTACTGAATTTTAAAGTCATGACAATATTATTAGCAAATTTTACTCCAGTTTGAATAGCATCAAACATGAAGTTAGATTTAAGAATATCAGAAATCATGTCAATTAATGAATTCTGTAAAAAATCCATTTTAGGGGCAGTAATGCTTCCTAAGTCAAAATTGTCAAAATTTCCGTTAGAACGTTGGTTAGTATTTTGATTTCTACCCGTTGCAATAGCAGCATAGGTAGCTCCATTAAATCGCTGAACATTGTTAGCAGCAAGAGGAGTAGGTATATATGAAACATTTGAAGCAGGGGTGATATTTGTACCTACGGGTACGAATGTAGAATTTGTTCCTCGCTGACCGTTGTTAACAGCAGAGGAATTTGTACCTGTACACTAAAAAAATCTGAATTTTACTCGTGATGTAAACATCCATGCATGTAAACATTCATGCATGTAAACTTCCTTTTCACGTAAACTAGCAGCTTGCAAGAAATGTTGCAAACAAAGGTGGAAAGTTGCATACAATATATGGAATATTGCATGACATGTCTCATAAATTTACACGATTTATTATGTAAATTTGTATTTATTTATGACGCTCCATTTATGTGCATCATAGTAACGGAAATTTACACTACTTTTTTTTAGCTGTGTGGTTGGAAACGTGGAGCGTTTCCTACCTGACGGTTAGAATGAGATTGTAGGATCGCTTTGCGAGTCTTACATTCCCAAAAATTGGATTTGTGGTTTTCACCACAATTTGAACATTTAAATTTCTTAGGATCTTCCTTCACAGGACAGCCATCCTTTGCGTGAGAGGAATCACCACAATTCATGCATTTAGCTGGCATGTAGCAATTTTTAGATCCGTGACCCCATCCCTGGCACTTACGGCACTGAGTGAGGTTTTGGAAATTTCCTCCAGTCTTCCTGAAGTGTTCCCACTTCACTCGGACATTGAGTATAAGGCTAGCTTTTTCTAAGGCCTTAAGGTTGTTTAGTTCACTAGACTTGAAGTGAACTAAATAAAAATCATTAGAAATCCCGTTGCCCGAATCGCCAGGACGGGATTTCATTTTCATTTTGATTACTTGGAGTGGCACAACTCCAAGTAATTTTGCCAGTTCATCTTTGATCTGATCCAGGGATTCACCACTGGGCAGTCCTTTCATGACAACCTTGAACACACGTTCAGTTTTGGTGTCGTAAGTAAAAAATTTGTGCTTCTGCTCAGTAAGATACTTGAGAAGACATTTAAATCCGTTCAAGGTTTCAGCCAATACACGGCATTCACCCCGACGTCCAATTTGTAGTGAAAACTTAACTTTCACGAAATTCAAAAGTTCCATGCGAAGAGCATGGAAATCGGAAGTGGTTATCACAATAGGGAGAATCTTTTCCTTCTTGGCATTAAGCCGGGAAGGTTTACTAGAATTTTTCTTGGATGATGGATCATTCTCATCATCCGTGAGCAAATCAAATTGATTACTCAAATTAATTTCATCAGAAGGGGGATAAAGAGTTTGCCCCTTTCTTTTGCGTTTAGGCGCCATGGCGGCAGTAAATTTTTATCCAAATCAACTTCCAAGCAGATTACTATAAGAATCTGAAGGATCGAAGAGGAATTTTCCAAATCGATATCCAAGAAGGATTACCTCGGGTAGGGTCCAAACAAGGATCGAAGAGGAATAAGAGTTGAACAAGGTAGAAATTTTTTACAGGTTGAGCACTGAAAAGTGCTGTTTAAATTTGTTGTAGCTTTAGGTAGTAGTAACACTTCCTTAAGAAAAAAGCAAATAGATCCGCACGGCAAGAGAGCACGATGCGGACGGTCAAAACTCTTGCTTATGACACTCTTCCGACCGCATGATAATGTGCATGGTAGGTAGTGAAATCGGTACTGGACTGACTGAGGAGAAGAATTTCCTCTGACAGCTTCCTGGGTTCAGTGTTCATGGACAAGAGCACAAGGTGTTACGTCTCAAGAAAAGTTCATACGGTCTGAAGCAGGCTGCGAGGTCTTGGAACCAGAAACTGCATCCGGAGCTACTACGGCTAGGCTTCAAGTGGTGCAATTCCGATCCATGTCTATATTTGAAGAAAGAAGATAGCCTATTGTGCTTCATTTTTGTATACGGCGACCTCATAATCGCCAGCAGGGACAAGCATATCATTGAGGGAACGACCGAAGGACTACAGAAAAACTTCAACATGTCTTCGATTGGCGTTGACGGCGAGTCTGTAGCTCTTTACTCCTACGTAAAATCCCGTACACATACGTCAGACTGTGTGTGAAACATGGCGGCCTTTGTGGTATCTCTTCACTCCACCGAAAATTTCCATTCTGTTAATTTTTGTTAGAGGAGACAATTTTTCAACAATGCCGTCAACGGCAATGGGCGATATACACTGGTATCACTGGAAGGGTGATTTCTTCTTGAATCAGAAGTGGAACATTGATTAAATCGTTAAATCAAACGGGTAGGAGGATGCCAAGATGAAGAAAATCCCTTTGGACCAGGGATACATCAAGGAAGAAGATGGGAAGCTGCTACCGAACAACAATAGCTACCAGAAGCTAGTTGGTCTAAGAGATGAACTCTATAATAAATAAAAAAAAAAACCAGTTGGTCAGTTGCTATTTGTGTCGGTCATTACAAGGCCGCTCATATCGGCAACGGTTTTCATCGTCACTAGGAAAACGAGCTGCCCTACACAAACCGACAGGAACGAGCTCACGCGGGTAGCTTGCTACCTGAATGGAACCAGGACCACTGGTTACGAGTAAGCAGTAACTACGAACAGAAAGGCCTGATCAGTTTCTCGGACGCGGATGGGGCCGAACGCATAGAAGAGCGAATCTCCAACACCGGATTAAATTCAATGGTGGTACCATCAGCTGGGCATGCAGGAAATAATCCTGTGTCATTATCCACCACAGAGGCAGAATGCGTGGCGCTCTCCGAAGCCACACAGGAGATATTTTGACTCAAGCGTTTGTTACGTGATCTCGGCGCAGAACAGCAGAATCCCTTTATCTACGAAGACAACCAGAGTGCACTAAAAATGCTGGAATCTGGAAAATTCAGCGGCAGACAAATAATAAAGGTGAGATCCAGTTCGTCTATTACCCAACCGAGCTAATGACTGTTGATCTGCTGACGAAACCAATAGGAGGGATCCGGATGGCCAAGCTTCGGGTGATGAGCGGATTGGAAGTCCAATGTTGAGAAGTTTTCACGGATCGTAGCAACACCGTGGACCTCAACCAGATCGAAGCAATATATAAGTTTTCTCTGTAGCTTTCAAACTTCATCGTTCACTACTAAAGCCGTGTTTCCTTCAAGTTCCCTAAATGTTAATCAATGATAACACTAATAACTCTACTCTATCATGGCCTGGTTGCCAGCCGCTGCTTTTCAAATGTTTATCAAGTACGGAACATGATATGAGCTATATCAAGCACTGTTCGTGATATAGGTTGACAGGTCGTTTATATGGGATATCAAGTAATATAGAACGTGATATAGTTGCTATATCACGAATCGCTCTATATCACTTGATACAGAGCGTAATGAGAACAGGGTATAAGAATGAACAGCAACAGTCTTAAATCTACGACCACCGGAAGTCATATCAGAACATAATGAAAACAGTAAAATAACTGAAAAAAAAAACATTTGCTCAAATACCAACTGCCACCGGATTTCAAATCTACCAAAATAAGAAACTCACCATTTTGTTATTGATTTCGTGGAAGTGGATTTCGCAAACTTTGTCCACTACGTCTTCGCTCTGAAATGTGACGAATCCAAAGCCTGCAAAAAAAGAGAGAGAACGGGAAAAACTTAAATTAGTTCCTTGCTTTCACACCTTCATCACCAGTCATCAGCGTCGGAACTTGATTCGTAATAAGAAAAAATAAAAAATAAACTCCCCCGCTTCGGAAAAACAACAACTTTAATGATTGTTAATGATGTCACTTTCCAACTATAGTTGGTACCTCTACTCTGCCGAAGGTTTGCGCTCTCGGAACCGGAAGGAGGTGTCCCAGGGACAAGTTTTTTCCTGCAGTTCGAAAGCATCGTCACCGGGGTAGTTATCACTTTATTTAGAGAGTTTGTGTCAGTTCCTCTGGGCGGGGACGGGAGCCCGGTTCCGATGTTTATCGAACTACTTAGAAAGTAATTTTATGCAAGCGAAGAGGGAAGCGTTTTTTCACTGTCGTGCAAGGTTCAAAGAACTTTTCCGCTAATGTGACGATTGTTTGTCTTCCGGGATGGGAGAGTTTGCTTTGGTGCCGAAATATTCCAAGGAATTCTTCTGCCTCTGCATAGGAAGCTAAGCAATCATAATCTGATATACACGCTTCCATCCACGTATGCTTTCGAGCGGAAAACAGCTTCAGCTGGCACCAACTTGCCCTGCAATACTGGGAACACAATACACAATTTATTTGACCGGTTTTGGAAAACTTGTGCAAACACTCCGACGCAAGCTTTTCACAGTCGAAATCACTCTTCCGTTCATAATTGTCTCCAAACAGAATGGCTTTATGTTTTGTTGCTCACTTTGTTTGTGTCCTCCGGCAACCGCCAGAGCTACCGAACTCCGACGACATCGATTTCAGTTCAGAATCCCATACACGATCGAGTCATACGAGAGAAATCCACATAACAAGCGACCAATATCGTCAAAGTGAATAACACCCAACACGCTTACCAAGGTTCGACAGGGGCGTGTGCAGATTCCTTTGAGACCCGTACCTGAGTACACCATTGAGCAAACCGTAGTTGAGTTTCCCCATCCGGAGTTCAATTCAGGGAAAACTTTTTCCCATGCAAGCCTTCACACTTCCAGCAGGTGGCAGCAGTAGCAGTTTGAAGTCCCCCTTTTAAATCGCCCCGCAACACACACAACACACATACGATAGTATTGCTCCATTGCAAGCATAAAAGAGACCGACACGTGCACAAACATTTTTTCCGAATGGAAAAATTTCCATAAAAGCTTTTGTTAAATTATTTTACTATTACTTCTTATCTTGATGAAAATGTGCTCTCCGTACACCCCGGCCCAGGCGTTTTGTATTGTGTTGTCATCGTTTGTCGCTCGTTTCGTCTTCCAGGACCAATTCGAACAGTCAGTCAGTCAGTCAGGCAGTGTGTTCTCCTTTTGAACACGTTGAGTTGAGCTCGATCAAACGGACACAGGCAGGCTGGCATCAGGGTGGGTGAAGAAGGTGGTGTCACACATACGTTCACTCGCATGCTCGTCCTTCTCTGATGGTCTTCCATATGAAAATTGCTTTTATCAACAATAAAATGTGTGTATTTTTATAAAGATTCTTGTTTCTGCGCTCAGCTTTTCTTTGTTTGTTCTTTTCGCGCGCACACACCGCCGCAAATACCTCGCAAGCTCAATGAGCGAAACGCAAACCTGGACTTGGGGACTGTCGGGGGTGGGGGATAGCAAAATGGGATTCTGTTCCCCTTTTAGATGGTCCTAGAAAAAAAAATAACATACGAGACGGGCACGAAATGGGAAAATTGTAGCATTTCTTTTTAAAACGATTGTGTGTTGCCGGGCGCAAGTGGTGGAAAAGAACACATGTGATTGCGTAGAACAAAGGAATTTTGTTCCTTAGGGAGACTTAAGGGGTCCATGATGTGGGAGTTTTCTCTGTCATGATGAAGACTTTTATTCAAGCATTCACATATTAGTAATGTTTGAATAAAACAGAGCTATGGTGGAACCGATTGCCAGTGATTGCGTGTCTTGAATGATTGCGAGCGAAGGTGCTTCGACGCATTTTGCTGTACAAAAATGCTATGCGGAATTATGTAATCATTGGATGTTATTATGATATGTTGTACTTGTAAGTTGCAAGTGGATGTTGTAAAGTATGTGTTTGACACATAAAACCTGTATAAAGCGAAGGAGAAGGATTATTCATTCCTATTTAATTCCACTACCTTAATTGCTTAGCCTTGACAGAGTTGTGCAGACACTGAAAAAGTCGGCACATTGTAGACGAAATGCACTCAATTCTGTTTTTAAGCGATTTTCATTTTATTTAGATTTAAGGTAGTGGAATTTAATGAAATTTACTTATCCTTCTCCCATTCCACTGTATTCCAGATATTTCACTACAGAAATCGGAGAGGCAAAAGGTTGATCGATTCGTCAGTTGGTGTTGATTTGCTCTGCTTCCTAATGGGCTGTTTACACTTATGCTATTTCACTAGCTCAGCCAGATCAGTCAACGAACACGAATTTCAGATGCTTCTGAAATCTCATGCTGATAGATGCTGTCGCCCTGTTTACATTATGCTGGCTATTTTTTTAGTACAGTTTTAGTACACTAGCGCTATCAAATCAGCACAGATGTAAATATTATTTAAGAGATTGATAATCTCATGGCATGATTAAGCAGTTATTTTTCAGGCAACACTGTATTGTGCAGATAGTAGCCATGATTTGTGTGCTCTATTCTACGCGCCGGAAATACCAATGCTGCTTGCTGATTAGTTGAATAAGCATAAACAGAAGACATATGAGGCTTAAATTATTAATTAGTTTTGTTCCTTACATTTTATTGAAAAGTGGTTTTTAACCAGGTTCTAGCTGAGAAAATTTCATACGAGTACAGGTATAATTTATGAGAGCAAAGGAATTTGGTGAATTGTTGGATAAATATGAACAACAAATTTGGTTTTCCCATAGTAATTTCCATATAAACTTCAAGTGATTTGTGCCAAGGCAGTTTTGTACTTAATGAGTTCTAGTTTTGGGGCGCTAATTAAGACCCGAATTTGAACCGTTTGAGCACTGTGAAGCGAAGTGTTACTCGATTATGACGACTGGGTTTCGGGAAAACGTTTGGTTCATGAAAACACTGATAAAATTATCATTTGTACATTTTCCAAAAGATTAATATACACAGCAAAAAATTAATTTTAATATCACATCAAAGTGGATGCACTTCAATCGTGTCAAAAATATGATGTTACATTACTTGTCAAAAAGGACAAAATTATCATTTATACTGTGCATGAACTGACGTTACGCTGCTTTTACTGCATTGGTTTATTTTGTGGGCATAAATATTACATGGGATTTTCGAAATTATTGAACTGCATCCTCTTGGATGTAATATGTATTGAAATTCATTTTTTGCTGTGTAGAACATAGAATAATTTTTATTTGTGGAGTTATTTCCTATCGATTGCCGTTTTTATATTTTAAATTCATCTATAAATGAAAAAGTTACCTGCGTTCAAAATCTAACACTATTTCGTCACAACTTCGCGATCGTGATTTTTTTTTTCATTCATTCTTGAAATTTCTTGTTAATATTTTTATTATTTCATATTGTTCGGATATATTTCATTTCTCCATTACATATATTAAATTTATATAAGTATATACTGGGTATGACAACCGGAGTCTAGGAGAGAATAAACACTATCATTTTCTTTATCCTACCGATTCGATTGTGATGGTGTGAATTCTACTCCAACAGTTTCAGTGAAATTGACGTGCCCTTCTTAACAAACCATCCTGTAGAAAGCTTAATAAGTATTGCGAATTGCGTAACTCGATTTGTTGGATCGTTTCATAGGAAGGAGATTCTTAAATTTCCGTGGATTTCACGTAAGTATCTCTCTTACGGGTCCACCCCTCCGTTTTTTGGTCCTTCATACAGCGATATTGAGAATTCAGATCGGTAGCTCAAAATGATCTTGCTATAAAGTGGAGCTGCATACAAGACAAATTTTCGAAGGGATGGTGGCTACCTTACATACATACATACATAAATACATACATAAATACATACATACACACATACATACATGCATACATACATACATACATACATACATACATGGGCTACAAATGGTGAGTTGACAACCTAGCTCTGGTCCTCACAAGTTCCTACCTTACAACTCCCCGTGGTGTAGCCTGGGCAATGTTGTCCTTCTGACAATAGCAAAGTGAGGGGGTGCAACGCGAACACTGGCGTGATAACCCGCAGGAGTGCCAACCGGCACATTAGGATCGACGCCAGTAAGACCTTTATTACGATACCACGCTACAGGGCTGACAATCGTGCTATTCTGCTCCCTGAGTAAAGAAGGATGACACCTTTTTGAAATGGCGAGTGGGCTAATAGTGCGGCTGTCCCATCCCGGTAAAACCTGGGTAGGCCTCCGGATACGTTCAAAACTCGTCACCAATTGGTGATTGGTGAGTAGTAAGCTCAGATGTAACATTCCTGACTTACGCCGATCTGGCTCTGAACACGGCCCCCATGGAGGACCGTGTCAACCCTAGCATGGTCTCCCTACTTGCATAGATAACCATGGGTTCACGATAGGAGACTACATACAACGAGTGGAGATAGCGGTCCGGAGGGGGGACCCATCAGAATGGAGTAAATCGGAGAAAAAACACAAAAATGACGAAAATTGAAAAAACAAAAAAAAATATGAAGGACGACGGCAAGACGCCAGACAGTGAAAACGGAGGAACGAACGTGTTCGCAAGGAGCGGGATATTTCAGAGATCACCAGTGTCAAACCTCGGGGCCACTGCGAGTTCCAGAAGCAGCAGTAAGTCCCAAGGACGGCAACCAGGCGTTGGGCTAAGCCAGATATTCTCAAGAACTGCAGCTTGGGAGAACCAAAATGACGGAGGTCAGGAAGAAGATCGATGAACTCTATGTGTTCGTTAAGGATAAAATCAACGTACACAAAGAGATCAAGCAACTTGTGACTGAAATTCAAATCCGACATAACGGTGGCAGATCGGGAAT